AACTAAAAAATGCCATTCAACTTATTTTACATCTTTTTACTCATTATTGATCATAAGTTTTCATTCTATAAGTTTATGTTTATAAGCTATATTTTTGTGGGTAAAATTTTGAAAAAACTCTTTAGGTTTATTTCCTAATTTTAAATTTATTTTTCTAATGACACTAGGCATAAGTATTTCAAAATTGCTGTTTTACCTTTTTCCAAAGTCAGTAATAGAAGTTTATTATTTGGTTCTGGTTAGGCAGTAGAAAACTAAAGTTGCGTTGTTTTTTACGAGCAATTTGTTAAAGAGAATAATATCAACAATATACCTAGGTATACTGTATACAAATCACAAGTTATTGCTGCATGTTTGTTATACAGTTTATAAGTGATTACTGATTAGCTTCTATTCTATAGCTTTTTAACACAAATTTAACAATTAAACATTTGGTGGTTCTCTTGGGTACCGTCAAATTTTAAAGGTCTTATAAATTTTAACAGGTTGAAATACAATCGATCCTTTTATTAAATATTATTCCACTTTAAATTTCAAAATGTTCAATCACATAAATTCATAATGACATAGTAACACGACAACCTGAACTGTCTAGTCAATTTATCGATTATTTAAATTTTTAAACACGTCTTGAATTAACAGCTCTTTGAACTAGAGATTAAAATCAACTAAAAGTTTTATTTGGCGGATTTATTATGCGCAGTTAAAATTTATTCAATTACGTATCAGAAAGCTTTATTCGTTGAAAAAATAATGCAAATTGTTTAAACAAAGCTACTACTATCTTGTAGTACTATCTTGTAAATTATCTTAAAGTGCCATCTTAGAACAAAACTTTTGACTTTTGAGTCTTCATTATGCTAGAATGTATATTTTATTCAAATTGATGAGTGCTCCATTTAAATTTATTTCAGCTTATAAGTAACATGAAAGAAATAATATAAAATTCCTCACCGATTCAATTTCAAATAGTCATGAATTCGATTTGTGTATAATTCTCCTGAGCAAGTAATAGAAATAAAAGCTACTTGAGCAGAACTCTTTCTGCTATAAATCTCGCAAAGTCGCTCCAGACGTGAGTTCAATTCTTATTTTTCAAATTGCTGATGAATTATTTGCTTTTTACGACGATAATAGAAGTGTAACAAGGTTTGTGTTAGTTTTCGAGTCGTAAATGTAAATTTTGCGGTTGCTGGAGGATGTCAATGCGTCCTTTGAGGAAGGAAAAACCTTGTTCATAACCGTTGCGAAACACATTCCACGCTTTAATTTTCTGGAATGCAAAAGGGATGCTCCGGGTTATTATAAACGAAACTTTTATTACATTTTTACCCACTTCTGATTTAAAAATAACGAAAAATATCAGGAACGAGATTTAATTCCGAAAAGATATTTTCATAGCAGAGATAAGAAAAGTGGAGAGTCCTGAATATTTTTTTTTGTTATTTTTATTAAAATGTAGGGTTCAAGCAATATTATGAACTTATATTCAGATGGTTTTGAGACACTTGTTTGAAATTTTTGCTTAGTTGTTCGGCCATTTCATGTTCGCTGTGTTTTGTTGGTTGCATACTATTTCTTATTTAAGAATTGGCAACAGGTCTTATACTTTAGATAATGATACAATAGTGACAGAAAAGTAACTAGGTTGCCGACATCCTCCGCGCAGAAAGTAGTACCTTTTAAATTTTGCAGGAAAGTGCATTTTAGTAGAAATGTCTTGAAAAAAAGTGTTAATGAGCAGCTTTATTATTGCACACAGTGATATAACTGTTGAATGTATCCTAACATCTAAAAATTGTAGTGAAAATATCTTTAGAATAATTGCACACATCTTACCGCGTAGTTGAGAATACCATTCATGGTATTCTCCGTGGCACAGTTTTCGCATTTTAAAACTTTTACAATAAAAAAGTGTCAAAATTCTGTCAAAACACGCGTAGGAATATCCGGATACGTGATACCAACCGGACATGTTTCAAATTATTGCAACTTACAAATTTTTGCATAGCGATTCTAGTACTTTTCTTGTTTTAGAGTTTTTCACCAAGATGATCTTAATATGTGAAGAATGCCACAAAATGCTGTGGCTAAATCTGTACCGTCAAAGGTACACCGTACGATAACTGTCAAAGCTATCCAAGATATCTATGTTTATAACTTTGAAAAATTTTAAACAGTACTTCAAGTAACGCATAGTGGCATCTGAGAATGTATTTTGAGTTGCGTCTAAAAATCGGTCAGGGTCTTTATTATACTATGTGACTCAGCCTGTATATAAAGATTGCTAAAAGAAAAAAAAATGCTATTATAAATAAAATATGGTGTTTCATTCAAAACGTTATATTGTAACCAGGATTTTATTTCGGGTGGGGTTTCTTGTTGGACCATGAAAATGAAAGAAGGCGGATTAAAAAAAAATCTCTAAGTACACGTTTTTATTTTAAATTAAAATAAGAGATCCTAATTAAACATAAAAAATACAAATTAACTCACAAAAGTAACAAAAATAAAATAAATTTTTAATACTTTTTATTGTTACAAATTTAAACAGGAGATAAAATATTCATTTTTAAAACAAAAGTTTTCTATAAACATATATCAAAAAATGCTACGCAAGGGGTGCGTCTTTTAATAGTTTTTTTTTTCAATATTTCCGAAATCATTTTAGAAAAAAATTTCAAAATTTGGTACTGATGATAACTTTAATACACCTAAACAAGTACAAAAATAAAATGTTGAAATTTTTAATTAGGAGCTTCCTAAACTAGATGGGATTAAAGGGTAAAAATTTATTCTAATTATTTTGCCTGTGGTTTCTTGCCACTTTCAGCAACAAAATTTCATAGTTTTTCATTAAAAAAAAAGTCTTTTGTGTTTTTTCGATACAATTTACGGATTTTTAGTAAAAATCCGTTTAAAAATTTATGTTACAGACCATAAACAGCATAAAAATTCAAAATTAAATTTGTTTTACCGTTTAGGACGCCCCTGATTAAAAATTTTGTTATTAGGCATTTGTTTAAGTGTACATATAAAGGCACCAAATTTTGTAATTTTATCTACCCCCTAATCTCCCCTCTTGGATACGGCCCTGATTGTAACTTATTTTTGGGATACGCTGTATAGTTGAAATAATTTTAGGCGATGGACTAGATTAGTATCTATCAATAGGATGTTCCGTTTTTATTGTTAGAAATTTAAACAAAAGTTTTGTATGAACATGTATCAAAAAATGTTATGTAGGCGAGCTACACCCCCTGAAAGAGATGCGTTTTTTAATTGGGTTTTCCCACAATTGCAAAATAGATAAAATTACAAAAGTTGGTACAGCTGATTACTTTTAGACACCTGAACGAATTTAAAGATCAGTTGTCGAAATTTTTAAACACGGCCATTTTAAACGGTAAAACGGATTTTTTAATTTTTATCCTCTTTGTAAGACAAATTGTAAACTGATTTTACTCAAAAACGATAAGTTATATCGAATAAACGTAAGACATCTCTTTTTTGTAAAAAACTATGGAATTTAAAATTTTGTGGCTGAAAGTGGCAAAAATCAACATTCAAAATAGTTAGGGTACTTTTTATCCTAAACCCCCTTAGTTTAAGACAAGTAAAAATTTTGACATTTTATCTTTGCATTCGTTTGGGGTATAAAGGTTATCAGTTGTATCAAATTGTGTAATTTTATTTACATTGGTTTCTAAAATATTGAAAAAATATCCATTAAAAGATTTCTGGGGATTAGCTCCCTTGTATAATATTTTTTGATTCACGATCATAGGAAAGTTTTATCTTGAAATTAAATATTCTGTCACCTGTTTAAATTTGTAACAATAAAAACGGAACACCTTTTTAAAATTTTGTCATGTAAAAGTCAATATTCGACTTTACCAATACGCTGGGACACCTGTATATTTAGCACCTAGTTTATTTTTTCATCAATCAGTTTTATGACTTTGAATTAGTTGTAATTTATTTTTTCGTTTTTAGATAGTTTACGAAGCTGATAAGCCGGCTGATAAGTAGGATTGCGATAGTTGGAAACACTTAAAGCTAAATCTGTTATTTTTTGCCTTTCAATTCAATTTTTACCTCGTAATCGTCATACTCTTGCCTCATCGGCAACTCGACAGATTGATAGATATACAGGGATGCGCCAGAACTCGCGCCCCAGAGAAAAACTTCAAGTAAGATAAGATACCACAAACATGGAAAAAAAGTTTAAAAAATTTTATCTGCCAAAAAAATTTGACATTTATTTTTTGACAGTTGACATTTTTTATGTCTATTTTTTTTGTCATGGGAACTTTTTAGCTCAGTTGGATGTCCTTTATCACCATCCAAGAGATGGTCCGACACTTTGGAATCATCCTGTAGAAAAATTCCAGCTAAGCATAAAAATAAATTAAGATTTTTTTAAAGCCTTTTTTTTGAAAAAACCTAACTTTCGATTCCCATATTATAATCATGCAGGTATCTTAGATATACATACAGGGTGCGCCAGAACTCGCGCCCCAGAGAAAATTTTCAAGTAAGGTAAGATACCAGGAACATGAAAAAAATGTTTAAAAAATTTTATCTGTCAAAAAATTTACTTTTTGACATTTGACATTTTTTTATATCTATTTAATGATACTGATGATCTTGTATATGTTTTTTTGCAATTATTTAGTAAAGGTACAAAAGTTTTGCTAATGAAAGCCACAAATATCATTGAAAAGAGTTACAATTTAGGATACAAGTTCCTTGTTTCCCCTTTTAATAGCCTATAGCAAAAAAACTTGGAAAGTTATTTTTCCAACAGAAATAAATAGAGTCAAAGTGCAAAACTTAAATTCTCATAACTTCGAAATTTTTATAGATAATTTTTTTTAACATTTTTTCCATGTTCCTGGTATCTTACTTTATGACATTTTCGCTGGGGCGCGAGTTCTGGCGCACCTGTATATATTTTATCATTTTAACTACACGATAACAATTACGTATATTTACAGTGCATTTGTTGACTGATGAGAGGTCGAATCGATGCTGAATAAATTAATTTTTCCATCGTTTCAACATCAGTGAAATAAATGAACTTAAAGAAAAGGTCGTTGTCGTTGCTATTTGTGATTGTTGCTGTGATATTCATTGCTTCGTTTTATGTTAACAATAAACCACAACCACTCCCAGGTATTAATTATTTTATTTTGTCAAAAACTTAGTGTGTTTTTCAAGTTCCTAAAGAGGTGGAAGGCTGGGGCCGAAATGTTTCGAAGAATGTCAAGGATTACATCAGCGAAACGGCGGAACCACACATTATGCCAAAAAAATTTTGTAACGAAAAGAGAATCCTCCTAGTATTTATTCATTCGAAGTTTGATAAGTTCGACGCTCGAAAGGCCATAAGGGAAACTTGGGGCCAAAAACGTAGGTGTTTGATTAAAGGCAGTGCTTCTGCTACCGGCAACGGTGTTAATGAGAGTGATTAATGACTCATTAATCACTAGTGATTAATGGGTATTAATTAAGATCGAGCAAACAGACCTATAATGGGTACATTATACAATAGTCGTGGATAAATTCATTTATATTAGAAAAAAAAAAATGAGTTCAAAGTGTGTGGACTTTTTAAATTTTATTTTAGTGCATTTGATTTGTCTCACTGAGACGAATAAAATGATATAAAATTTGTCAAGTTGTCACGACATGACTTTTTTTTTGTCGCCCTGTATAATTCGAAATCTGTTTTCACAATAAAATTTTCTCATAAAAGTACAGGGCCTGTTATTTACTAACAAATTTTAAATTTTGATATTGTATTCACAACGTTTTAAACTAACTGCTTTGATTATTTTTCCTTAAAAATGAATGGCTGTTAATGCGAAATATCGTTACAAAGATGAGCCAACTTTCTCGAGATTTCCTAATTTTTTT